TTTTTAAAAGTTTCGATCCAGAGACACGCAAAGGTTAGGAACAGGCTGACCCTTTAAACAGGAACACAAAACAGTCACTATAGCAACAGCTGAAAGTATAGAAAGGGGGTTGTCCTCATTGATCTTCCTTCCTGAGGCTATCAGCATTTCCCCCCAGCTTATTGGGATCCCCACTGCCTGTCGTACAACCAACAAAGCATGCTCAAATAACCGAAAATAAAAGCAGTGAGGTTGGGAAACAAGGAAGCTGCATAGCAATGTCCATTTTGGGTCTGCTAAATATTAGGGGTCGAACAAATCAACCCAGGGTTCACACTCAAAGCACAAATGACCAAGCTAAAATTCTCCTACTTTGGACACAATATGCAAAGATCTAGCTCTCTGGAGAAGGCTTTAATGTTGGGAAAGGTGGAAGGAAGGAGAAGAGGATAACCAGCAGCAAGGTGAGTGGACGCAATTACAGTGGCAATGGGGGCACTGTTGGAAGACCTGAAAGGCCAGGTTAGTGATAGATTGCCATGGAGAAAATCTACCTATGTGGTCACTAGGAGTTGACAATGACTTGATGGCAGATAATCAATCAATCAATCAATCAAATATAAGGGGTTTGCAGAATGCAAATGTTTGGATTCATTTCAGTCCTTCATACACTTCATAGTTCATTCAGTTGCCCGGCAGTAGATAGGATTTTGCAAGGGTGGGAATTGCTTGGGTTGGGGAAGCACCACTTCTCCCCTCTCACTTGTTCTGGTTGAGCAGTGAAAAAAGATCCCTAAAATAAAAATTATTTATTTTAGTGAGACTGAGGGAGTATTTGATTGTTTGTGATTCAAATTTTGTGTATATGTGTTTGCAAGTAGGCAGGCGTCCATATCACAAACTCGATTAAGGCAGAAAGCAGTAGTAAGAATAAATAATAAGTTCTGGATTTCTTCAAAAAATTAGCAATGCTTGTGCCCATCATTTTTATTTATTCATTCATCATATTTACATAGTCACCCATCTCACAGAAAGTAACTCTGGGCAGCGTACAACAATTAACCATCATGTGCAAGGTATTATGGAAACTCACACAGCAAAATGTTTACGGTAACTAGTAAGATCAACAACTGTCTGATTTCGAAAACTCACGTGAGTAGATAAATGGGTACTCTCACTCCGGTGGGAGGAAAAATGCTGGCGGGGCTTTCACGAGAGTCGGGGGGAGTTGGCGGGTAGAGGGGAAGCGCGGTTGGCCGCCAA